AGAGAGAGAGAGAGAGAGAGAGAGAGAGAGAGAGAGAGAGAGAGAGAAAGAAAGAGAGTTGACCAGATATTGAAGATAGCTATCCAGATACAAAATTTACCCCCAGCAAAAAATTATGCAATTGATAAGTCACAATTATAGAGTAACATTGTTCTGAAGTGATATCATATCTTTATTCTCTGAACTAGATCTACCTCCTTTTCAATATCAATACATGTCATATCTTGACACTCTTTTGTTGTCTTTTGGGGGATATTTGTTAATTTGTTTAGGCTGTCTACATCGGCACAAGAGTATTGAAGTTTAATTCACATTTGCAGCACCCCACAACCTCCTGTAAACATTTTACCACTAAATGTTTTGCAAGATCAATTTTTTAACTTTATATCACTTTCAGGATCAGTTTAACGGCAATCACTCGACGGACCCTCTAGAGCTGTGGCACACGATAGCGCGGGAAAAAAGCGACGGGGCGTCCATACTGCCACAGACGGCCGGAGCTCTTATTGAGGAGTTCAGGGACGTTGCGCCTGACTTCCGGCTGACTTTTATGGTAACTGGAGGTCAACCGTTGAGACAAGTGAGTTGAGGAACATCTTGGGGAGAGGGGGGAGGGAGGTGGGGGGAGGAGTAAAGAGGAAGATAGAGGATATTTTGGTTGGGTGAAGGTAAGTCAAGGGAGAAAAGGAAGATTGGGCCGTGAGTAGAGAGGAGTATGTTCTGGTACTTCATGTTTTCCCTTTTATTCTATATCGTTATCCCATGTGTACTTCGATCTATATAGGAAGTCCAGTAAATGGCCCCTCCCTATACCACCTCCAGCCTGTCACTGTTACGGTACACGGGTGTGTCACAACCGTGTAAATGCCTCAGGCATGGACAGAGTTAATGTGTATAAATACACAAAATCGATGTATGGTCGAATGGTTTTTTTTCATGTAAATGCTGACTAGTTTCTTTATAGTCTTTCAAGCATGACCTTTATCGCTCTCTTTTTTCCACCTCGTCATTATCAACTGTTAGATCTGCGACAGATAATTTATTGGCATCATGATTCGCCATTCATTTCTTTGCTCGAATCTGATCAAATAAGCTATATCATTATTTAATTATCCTGGTCTTTTCCGCGTCACCAATCTGTTGAGGCTTTCCATGTAATTTTGCTCTTTGTCCACCCCTGTCTCGTTTTTTTTTCTATCTTACCAGTGAGAGTTAGATGTTATGTTTAAGGCCCTTACGTTGATTCGGTGGTCTCAGAAACTGCAAACCTTTGTTTCTTTTTCATTACATTTGATAGTGAGCGGCCCACGTGGGCTTCTTTAAGTGCTTCCTCATTTGATTTCCAATGCCCATTCCCCTGTCTTCCACCCGGGAACGCGATGGGTTGGGTATGAAGACCTATACTATGAAGACCATTACTAAATCTTTGATATCTCACAGATTTCCACCGGCAAACATAATGTGCAACTTGTTTTTCTCCCCTGCTGTTGTGCATCTTCTTTCCCTCAGTATATCGCTCAGGCCGTGGGCCGCTTGGCTAAGGTGATGGTGGTCACTTACGCCTCAACAGAGGCCGGGATGGTCAGTTCAGGTCTGGTCACTGACCCCTTCAGTCACCAGGACTTCTACAGTGGCAAGCCCGCCAAGGGCGTACAGATCAGGGTTGTGGACGAGGAGGAAAATGACGTGCCCGCCGGCGTGCAGGGGGATGTGCTGATCAAATGTGAGTTGTTGGTGGATACGGGCGGG